TAGTTTTGGTTAGTTAGTTTTGGTTAGTTAGTTTTGGTTAGTTAGTTTTGGTTAGTTAGTTTTGGTTAGTTTTGGTTAGTTTTGGTTAGTTTTGGTTAGTTTTGGTTAGTTTTGGTTAGTTTTGGTTAGTTTTGGTTAGTTTTGGTTAGTTTTGGTTAGTTTTGGTTAGTTTTGGTTAGTTTTGGTTAGTTTTGGTTAGTTTTGGTTAGTTTTGGTTAGTTTTGGTTAGTTTTGGTTAGTTTTGGTTAGTTTTGGTTAGTTTTGGTTAGTTTTGGTTAGTTTTGGTTAGTTTTGGTTAGTTTTGGTTAGTTTTGGTTAGTTTTGGTTAGTTTTGGTTAGTTTTGGTTAGTTTTGGTTAGTTTTGGTTAGTTTTGGTTAGTTTTGGTTAGTTTTGGTTAGTTTTGGTTAGTTTTGGTTAGTTTTGGTTAGTTTTGGTTAGTTTTGGTTAGTTTTGGTTAGTTTTGGTTAGTTTTGGTTAGTTTTGGTTAGTTTTGGTTAGTTTTGGTTAGTTTTGGTTAGTTTTGGTTAGTTTTGGTTAGTTTTGGTTAGTTTTGGTTAGTTTTGGTTAGTTTTGGTTAGTTTTGGTTAGTTTTGGTTAGTTTTGGTTAGTTTTGGTTAGTTTTGGTTAGTTTTGGTTAGTTTTGGTTAGTTTTGGTTAGTTTTGGTTAGTTTTGGTTAGTTTTGGTTAGTTTTGGTTAGTTTTGGTTAGTTTTGGTTAGTTTTGGTTAGTTTTGGTTAGTTTTGGTTAGTTTTGGTTAGTTTTGGTTAGTTTTGGTTAGTTTTGGTTAGTTTTGGTTAGTTTTGGTTAGTTTTGGTTAGTTTTGGTTAGTTTTGGTTAGTTTTGGTTAGTTTTGGTTAGTTTTGGTTAGTTTTGGTTAGTTTTGGTTAGTTTTGGTTAGTTTTGGTTAGTTTTGGTTAGTTTTGGTTAGTTTTGGTTAGTTTTGGTTAGTTTTGGTTAGTTTTGGTTAGTTTTGGTTAGTTTTGGTTAGTTTTGGTTAGTTTTGGTTAGTTTTGGTTAGTTTTGGTTAGTTTTGGTTAGTTTTGGTTAGTTTTGGTTAGTTTTGGTTAGTTTTGGTTAGTTTTGGTTAGTTTTGGTTAGTTTTGGTTAGTTTTGGTTAGTTTTGGTTAGTTTTGGTTAGTTTTGGTTAGTTTTGGTTAGTTTTGGTTAGTTTTGGTTAGTTTTGGTTAGTTTTGGTTAGTTTTGGTTAGTTTTGGTTAGTTTTGGTTAGTTTTGGTTAGTTTTGGTTAGTTTTGGTTAGTTTTGGTTAGTTTTGGTTAGTTTTGGTTAGTTTTGGTTAGTTTTGGTTAGTTTTGGTTAGTTTTGGTTAGTTTTGGTTAGTTTTGGTTAGTTTTGGTTAGTTTTGGTTAGTTTTGGTTAGTTTTGGTTAGTTTTGGTTAGTTTTGGTTAGTTTTGGTTAGTTTTGGTTAGTTTTGGTTAGTTTTGGTTAGTTTTGGTTAGTTTTGGTTAGTTTTGGTTAGTTTTGGTTAGTTTTGGTTAGTTTTGGTTAGTTTTGGTTAGTTTTGGTTAGTTTTGGTTAGTTTTGGTTAGTTTTGGTTAGTTTTGGTTAGTTTTGGTTAGTTTTGGTTAGTTTTGGTTAGTTTTGGTTAGTTTTGGTTAGTTTTGGTTAGTTTTGGTTAGTTTTGGTTAGTTTTGGTTAGTTTTGGTTAGTTTTGGTTAGTTTTGGTTAGTTTTGGTTAGTTTTGGTTAGTTTTGGTTAGTTTTGGTTAGTTTTGGTTAGTTTTGGTTAGTTTTGGTTAGTTTTGGTTAGTTTTGGTTAGTTTTGGTTAGTTTTGGTTAGTTTTGGTTAGTTTTGGTTAGTTTTGGTTAGTTTTGGTTAGTTTTGGTTAGTTTTGGTTAGTTTTGGTTAGTTTTGGTTAGTTTTGGTTAGTTTTGGTTAGTTTTGGTTAGTTTTGGTTAGTTTTGGTTAGTTTTGGTTAGTTTTGGTTAGTTTTGGTTAGTTTTGGTTAGTTTTGGTTAGTTTTGGTTAGTTTTGGTTAGTTTTGGTTAGTTTTGGTTAGTTTTGGTTAGTTTTGGTTAGTTTTGGTTAGTTTTGGTTAGTTTTGGTTAGTTTTGGTTAGTTTTGGTTAGTTTTGGTTAGTTTTGGTTAGTTTTGGTTAGTTTTGGTTAGTTTTGGTTAGTTTTGGTTAGTTTTGGTTAGTTTTGGTTAGTTTTGGTTAGTTTTGGTTAGTTTTGGTTAGTTTTGGTTAGTTTTGGTTAGTTTTGGTTAGTTTTGGTTAGTTTTGGTTAGTTTTGGTTAGTTTTGGTTAGTTTTGGTTAGTTTTGGTTAGTTTTGGTTAGTTTTGGTTAGTTTTGGTTAGTTTTGGTTAGTTTTGGTTAGTTTTGGTTAGTTTTGGTTAGTTTTGGTTAGTTTTGGTTAGTTTTGGTTAGTTTTGGTTAGTTTTGGTTAGTTTTGGTTAGTTTTGGTTAGTTTTGGTTAGTTTTGGTTAGTTTTGGTTAGTTTTGGTTAGTTTTGGTTAGTTTTGGTTAGTTTTGGTTAGTTTTGGTTAGTTTTGGTTAGTTTTGGTTAGTTTTGGTTAGTTTTGGTTAGTTTTGGTTAGTTTTGGTTAGTTTTGGTTAGTTTTGGTTAGTTTTGGTTAGTTTTGGTTAGTTTTGGTTAGTTTTGGTTAGTTTTGGTTAGTTTTGGTTAGTTTTGGTTAGTTTTGGTTAGTTTTGGTTAGTTTTGGTTAGTTTTGGTTAGTTTTGGTTAGTTTTGGTTAGTTTTGGTTAGTTTTGGTTAGTTTTGGTTAGTTTTGGTTAGTTTTGGTTAGTTTTGGTTAGTTTTGGTTAGTTTTGGTTAGTTTTGGTTAGTTTTGGTTAGTTTTGGTTAGTTTTGGTTAGTTTTGGTTAGTTTTGGTTAGTTTTGGTTAGTTTTGGTTAGTTTTGGTTAGTTTTGGTTAGTTTTGGTTAGTTTTGGTTAGTTTTGGTTAGTTGTTTTGGTTAGTTTTGGTTAGTTTTGGTTAGTTTTGGTTAGTTTTGGTTAGTTTTGGTTAGTTTTGGTTAGTTTTGGTTAGTTTTGGTTAGTTTTGGTTAGTTTTGGTTAGTTTTGGTTAGTTTTGGTTAGTTTTGGGTTAGTTTTGGTTAGTTTTGGTTAGTTTTGGTTAGTTTTGGTTAGTTTTGGTTAGTTTGGTTAGTTTTGGTTAGTTTTGGTTAGTTTTGGTTAGTTTTGGTTAGTTTTGGTTAGTTTTGGTGGTTAGTTTTTGGTTAGTTTTGGTTAGTTTTGGTTAGTTTTGGTTAGTTTTGGTTAGTTTTGGTTAGGTTTGGTTAGTTTTGGTTAGTTTTGGTTAGTTTTGGTTAGTTTTGGTTAGTTTTGGTTAGTTTTTGGTTTAGTTTTGGTTAGTTTTGGTT